GTACGCACCCTGTGAGAACCAAGCATGTCTTGGCGATGTATTTTGGATTTCTGAAAATGTCTTCCTGTTGGGTTGAGGTAAGGAAAGAACTTGTGGAAATGTTCTTGTTGCTGCCAGCAGAGTTTTTGGGACTAAAGTGTGCATTCCAATGCTATGTTGGGGGAGGTTAGCTGGTCAGGAAATAAAACCCTTACCAAAGGTAATGGGTCCCACTAGCATTTTCAGTAAGGAGTACCAGATGTGGGTAGTTAATTATTCTCAGATCTGATAAGTACCTGCCAGCCAAGGCCAATTTTATTTTCAGTAAACAGTGGCCAAAGGTCCTAGCTGTTCATTTGATAGGATAGGGCCTGTTTGCACTTATCTATTAATAAATGCACAGCACTCCTTTCGTTTTCCTTTCCCAGGGCCAGATAAAACATTTCAGACACTCAAAGTATTTGTCTTAGTAAATCAGACAAAGTAAACAAATCTGGTGATTAACTTGGTAAACAGAAAGTGGCTAAGTGTTACCTTTGGAGTTTAACTCAATGCCAAACAAATAATATTAATCGCATGGCATTTTCAATAACCTTTATGAAGTAAGACAGAGAGGATTTTCCACCCTCTTTTAACCACCAGTGGTATATCTCTTAAGTGCTTTCAGATGTCTTTTTGTAGGGAGATTGTGAAAATCACTTTAAAATGAGATTTATTCTTATGTACCATGAGTAACTCATTGGGAACACTGTACTAGTTAGCATTGTGTGTAAACCTGGGAACCTCTGTGGTTCATCCCAGAGGGAAGACTGCCCAGGGCCATACCCATCTTTCCTGTACAGAGATAATACTCTTCTAAAGGTTTGATTTGAATGAAGCCCTGAGAAAATGGTCCCCTTTTATACGATTAAGGGGGGTAGGTAACAGAAATTAATTCTTTACTCTGCAAGATTTTTGTCTTTGGAGCAAAGGGCTTCATTAATAATTGAACTGTTTATTTTGTGATGTACGTGCTTTTCTGGGGAGAACTAGTGAGAAATACACCAGTTGTTTTATACTAGGTAACACAGAACTATGGTATCAAAGAAACTTTCTTTCACTCCAAGCCTCAACTAGATATCACTGGTGACCCAATTTCTGTTTCCTGCCATCTTTTATATCACTACACTTTCTTCTTTACTTTGATCAAAACCTGCCTGCTCTGCCAAATGTAATATCTTTTTTGTGTTGGCTTTGTACTTGAGACTGAAAGTAGCTTATGAAATTGTTTCATTTCCCATGATATGTAATAATGCTAATTTACTAAACACCGAGCATACAAACATAGCTGGAATGCCTTAGAGAACAATATCTTATCTGCACATCTCCATTTAGAATATCTCTGCATTGATGTCTTATTCCACAAGAGAGTGTTCTGGCACAGTGCCATGAATATAGTGAGTGGTAACACCACAGGCGTGGTGGTTGACACTAATAGTATGGAGGAGACAGTGCAAACCTGGAGTTTGAAATCTGTTATGTTTTTTCAGCTTCATTTTAATGACCTGCTGGGAGGCCAGGTGCATTCCTTGTATTCTTTTTATGTTTTAGTTTTCTGCAGCTGTGCAGAGAAGTTAAACGCTCTATCCATTTACTTACCTGACAGGCATGTCCTTAAAACTTAATCAAAGTATCAAGTTCTTGTGGCTTAAAGGATGAAAAGTATTACTACTGTTACTATTTCTACTATTTACACACTTTGAATTTTTCTTCCATACGACTTATTATTTTCTATTACACTCACTAACATTTCTTTATGGTATATGCTAATATGCTTTATATTATATTTACTAAATAGCATTGCATTCATTTTATCCAATTATATTTACTTGTATTTAACAATCATTTGTTCTATTTATTTTTTCTTTATTTTTATTATGTATATCCTAAAATGTATATGATAAAACAATATATATACACATATGTATATATATATGTATATTGGTTTTTACAAGACAGGGTGTCTCTGTATTGTTTTGGAGGCTGTCGGTCCAGCCCGGCCTTGAACTCACAGTGATCCGCCTGCCTCTGCCTCCCGAGTGCTGGGATTAAAGGCGTGCGCCACCACTGCCCGGCAAACAACATATATTTTAAGAGGAGGTCTTGCTATGTCACCCAGACTTCTACCAAGCTCCTGGGCTGAAGGTATTCTCCTGCTTCTTCCTTCTAAGTAACTGAAACGCTATTTAAATTATAACAGAATTGTAGTAAAATTCATGGGGTATATTTCTAGAGTAGCGGTTTTATTATCTATACTAACTCTTCACGTAAGATCCTTTTAATTATAAATGTAGCTGCATCTTCAAAATATCTTTGATTATAGATGATTAGATACTACTTATATGGTAGAATAGGCTAACTAAAGTGATGTGGGGAGCTGCTAAAAATGTTGTAAAACTCGCCGGGCGGTGGTGGCGCACGCCTTTAATCCCAGCACTCGGGAGGCAGAGGCAGGCGGATCTCTGTGAGTTCGAGGCCGGGCTGGACTGATAGCCTCCAAAACAATACAGAGAAACCCTGTCTTGTAAAAACCAAAAAAAAAAAAATGTTGTAAAACTCATAATGCCCAGTGAGCAGTAATCTGCTACTGATTCACACATCTGTATTTCTATACCCTTTTACTGATCTCTAGACCTATAAGTCCAACCAACTAGATAGCTTCTGTATGTGACTACGCTACAATATTTTCAGGTGTCACATATAAATTTAATATCCTGTTTCTGATTTGCTTTTCTCTCTAGTTAGAATCACACCCAACCTGTCTCTCAATACAGCAAACCCTACCTATATTCCCTTACTGTCTGTACATTCGAGCACCTTAATGTTCTATGTCCTTTCTGTCCATTCTTGTTATGTCTTTTATCAGGTTATGTTTGTCTACCTTCCTGTCACCAGACTTGTCCCATTGCTATCTCTGAATTGTATTCAGGATAATATTGCAAGTATGTTGTCTTGACTTAAGATTTGTGGTGGCTACTTGTGACCTGGGATGAACTTCACACTTGTTTTGGTTAAGTTCCCAATGATTTTCACTTTAATTTAGCCTCAAATCTTCTTGTAACCTTTGTTGTAGCCCTTATATCTGTTTTTTTTTTCCTACCCGCTTCTTTGATTGGAAAACACTTATTTTATTAAAAAAAAAAAAACAACCATTCCACCATGAGAGCTTTTGGGACTCAAGTGAAATTGGGAACTGCACCCTTGAATCCCATCTTATATTGTTTATACTTCTCTCGTGGTTCCTGTGAAAGCCACTGCGTTTGCATATGTCTTTCCCTTTCTAACCCGTTGCCTTTTCACTTTTGCATTTCCATGTTGAGATCAGTGGCTGAGACGGACACAGGAGACGGTTGATTGATTAAACTGATACATTTAAATCCTGCTGCTTATCTTCCTGCTCAGGTTTACTTCTTCTCAGTGTTAGATTGAGATGGCTTAAGAAGAATTCAGATTGGATTTGATGTGATGGATAGACTAGGTCTTTACCTAATTGATATGATTGGAGGAACAGTCATATCAATCCCTATATTTACCCCCAGATTTCATAGTCTGAAAATTAGCTATGAGGATTCATTTATTAAGAAACTACTTAAACAGCTGGGCAGTGGTGTCACAATGCCTTTAATTTCTTCACTTGGGAGACAGAGGCAGGTGGATCTGTGAATTCAAGGCCAGCCTGGTCTACAAACTAAGTTCCAGGACAGCCAGAGCTGCATAGAGAAACTTGGTCTCAGGGTGGGGGTAGGGAGCTCTTTAAACCTCACACCTCTTTAGAAAGTATTTCCATAAGCATTATCTTAATTTCCAAAATAATTATATCAGATAATTTTTATTGCATACAATTTAGAGATTAAAAAATATAATTTCATAACAATTCGTTGGTATCTCTGAGGACATGTGATGATGGAATTTGAACCTTGAGATCCTCCTAGGCTTATTGCCTTTGAAAGACACATCAATCTATTTGCAACTATGTATCAAGTCAATGTACATTAGTGAAACAGGTAGTTTTCTTCATGTAAGCTCACCAAGATCAGAATTTTGACTACTGTACTGGGAAGGAAAAGGAATATTGAGAATAGATGGAAGATAATTTTGGAGTTCAAAGAAGTTGGGTTTTGATTTTATGTGACAGTGACACTGGGGTGACTCCTAGTATGATGTAAATGAGGCAAATTTAAATTACTTTGTTAATTACTCTTCTTGTGAGCTCAATTTAATAAAATGATTCTACCTCTGTATTATCTAGATTTTTTCTAAGTAAAATGCTAAATATTGAAAATTTATCTTTTATGTGTATTACTAGAAATGTTCTTTAGAAGTTTACTATGACTGGTTTATTGAGAACATAGATTTTTTTTTCTTTTAGGTAGTAACACATGTGTGGCTATGATTTGTTCTTTGTCTTTCATGTTGTAGACTTTCTTTAAAAGTCTGATGATGTTAGGCAACCCTTCCACGTTCAATAGTAATAATCCATGCACACACATAAACTGGAAGCCCTGTGTAACTGACTTTTTCTTTTGGGCCAGCAACCAACTCCCAAATCATGACATGGAGACTTACTAGTTATGATGCTGGGCTGTAGCTTAGGCTCATTTCTTGCTAGCTTTTGTAAGTTAACCTGTTTCTCTTCATCTACATTTTGCTTCAGGACTTTTTGCCTTTCTTTCCTTCTGTATATCTTACTTTCACTGCTTCTCATGTAAGGTAAGCAGCTGTGTGGCTTCCAGCTTCTGGTCCCAGGCATGTCCCTCTCTTTCTTCCCTGTTCTCTTTTTCTTCTCTCTCCAGCCTAGCTGTCTTCTCCTTCTTATTCTCTTACCCCCCCCCCCCCACACACACACACCACCTATCCCTCTCTTGCCTACCTATTTACCTATTGGCCCTTCAGTTTTTTCATTAGACCAATCAGGTGCCTTTTTGGCAGGCAAGGTGAAACAAATGTAACACATCTGTAAATAATTAAACAAACACAGCACAAACAAATGTAACACACTTTTATACAATTAAAGTACTATTCCACAGCATAAACAAAAGTAGCACATTTTTACATAGGTAAAATAATTTCCAGTACAGTTAATTGATACTTTCGTTAGTTTGAAAGAAGATCCTGGTGCTTTGTGGGGGGGAATTTCCAGGCATCTGTGTCAGCAGCATATGGTCATCTCTTTGTTAGAGAACTTCCTAATTTTCAGTGACTAAAACACCTGATTGCCAGAGTTTGTGGGGCTGAGGGAGAGAGAGGGACAAGATATTAGGATGTGTTCTCTCCCAGGATGTAAATGTTCACTTTCTCTCTCATTTCATTTCAGATTAGATTCAGGTTCAGTACCTCTCTGAGCCCCAACCTCTGCCATATCTGATGTCTTTGAGTTCACAAATCCTTAGATCCACTTTTCTCAAGGCCAAATAGCTAAACACAGGTAGGATAGAAATCTAAACTTGTGAAATGTATGTAGGATTTGGACCCAAGGGGATGAGAAAGTCTTTCTGCAAAAGAAAGTATGGGAAGATAGGAAGCTGGTGGGGGAAAAAATAACAGGGTAAATAGGAAATTGCAAGTAATGCAGTTTATTTAGAGTAGAGCAAGCCAGAGAGATGTGCTTAAGGAAAAATAGAGCTAGAAACAGAACCTAGAACTTCAAAGACAAAACAAGATGCCTGGAGTCCCCATGCCCCTAGAGGTGCTAAAGTGCCAACTTGTGCACACTCCATCATTAAAAGCTGCTCCATAGACTCTAAGTGCCTGAGTCACCAACAGGACCTTAACAGGTGACGAAAGCTGAGGTGCTGTGACTTTGACATTGTGCATAATTTTTGCAGGAAAAGTTTTGAAAGAATAGAAATGTCAGGTATATAGAATTCGAGCTCGCAGATGCTAAGGCTAGCTATGAAGCTTGGTTTGTCTCTTAATTTGTACACACTCTTAGTGAGATGGTTTTCTAAAAATGGAAGAGTTTTCAAGTGTTGGCTGTGATTTTAGTTACTAGATGTTATTAGAGTGCAAATGTCATCACTGCCATGGGCCAGCCATTTGGTACAGAAGCAGGGACCCTTAGATAAGAAGAGATGCAAAGGAAGTACCACTTTGTACCTGGAACATTATTACTTTTAATAGGACTGCCTCTCTATTGGAATTTTATTCCATCTAATCTGGAGCAAAATATAAGGCAGAACTTTTGTTCATTACCCAGAATGCTGCTCAGTTGTGTAGAAGTCAGTCATGCTTTCAATGACAATATGAGTGATGATATAGAAGTCTTTTTTTTTTTGTGGCCCTACCCCTACCCCAGGGTTAAGCAGTTTTCTCCTTTTTCGGTCTGGAAGGAACAGTATTTGTATTGATCTCAGTTACAAATTTCTCTCCTTTGTACTGTTTGCCTGAGCCTTAAAAATGTGGCAGCATTACTAAGCACTCTGGAATTTAGATTAAACAGCATTCAATTTGAAAATCTAATCACATCATCTAAATATCATTAAGTTATAATAGACTGATTGATAGGGGCCAAAGCTGTTTCAGCCTGGTGCTGCATGCCTTTCACTCAGCCAGCCTTTTCAAACCAAGATGTTGATAAAGGGGTCTATAAATCTTAATAGTTGGAGACAGTTTAAAAGCATAGTTCACTGGGCAAGGTCACACCCACTTAAGTGACCTATTTTGTATACTTTTCAAAAATAGGTTAATTAACTTAATAGAAATAATAGGTTTCTGGTATTGATGTGCAATTACTACAAAAACAGCTTTTTTTCTTCTTATTCCTTTCCAAACGAACATGATGCTCATGAAATTGAGGGCATAATAGCTGTGACAAAAACCAGGTTTAGCAAGGCAAGTCATGTTCAGCAAATCACATTTCAGACTTGTTCTTTAAAATTCACCTTTCTCCAGGTCCTAGGACACGGGCACACCTCCACCAGAACGTTCTGTTCCTGGCACTCTCCTATTGCAGTTTTTAGGAGGGATTACTCTAGCTGTTGTTATTTCCCTAATCGCTGTAACAGCAGTCTATATAGCTCTTGTCCCCCGGAACCTCATCAGGCATAGAAATCACAATGAATGTTGACCTCTTTTTTTTTTAACTGAGGGCATTTTCTTTGTTGTTATAGCACATGATTCATGTGCTGGTGTAGTTTCAGAAGGATACAGTGAAGAGGCGAAGAGTGGCCAGTCCAGAGTCCTATTTGGGACAGGATGAAGCCTCTCAATATATACTGCTTTACTTGAATGTTGGTATTGTTTGGTTGCTTTTATTGTTATTATTTGGTTCTCAAGTCATTCTCCCAAGGTATTTTATGTTTCCTTTAGGTTGGACAGTTATAACCTTTGTTTTCTATTACTGACTGCTCAAGTTATGAAATTTGATTTTTCTGTTTATCTTTTCCTGAAGACCTAAAGCCTTAATGTCTTATCGAAAGGGATGCTTATTATATTGTTCTTTAGAAATTTTAAATGCATTTTAGTTAGAATATTATGTTTAGAAAAGTTAACTCTCAGCCAGGCACAGTGGCAAACTACCTGGGCTTATTGGGTGATTTGGTCTCAGAAAAGAAGGAAGAAAGGAGGAATGATGGGATAGAGAAAAAGATAAAGAAAAAAACTTCCTCTTTTTCTTTCACCCCTATTTGTGTATCACACACAACTCTCTAAATATATATTGCTGAGTTCAGGTGGGTTGTATTTCCCTGTGGCCTAGGTATCCTGAGGCATGATAGTGATATTCATTCATGTGAGGCTCTTGCAAGGTGCTTGAGGTGGGTACATTTTGAATTGATGGGCATATTTCTAACAGATAGGTTGTCTGCACTAGAAATTTTAGGGAGACTCCTTGACCACCTTAGAGCAATACCACCATTCACTAGTTTGTGCCCTTTTCTACCAACCCAACCTTTTCTTTTGCAAAAAATGCAATATCTTTATTTATACTATGACAGATTTATACATGCATGCAATGTATTTGTACTCCTTCCCCTAACTCTTCCAAGATATACCTCTAAACCCCTGTGTTTCCTTTTTTAAAAAAAAATAACCCACCAAGTCCAATTTGAGCTGCCCATTTCCTCATGGGTATGGGACGGTCCACAGGAGTATGGTTGACCTATGTAGGGTCACGTCCTTAAAGGAAGCTGAGTCTCCACTTGCAGAAGCCATCAATTTCCATAGCTCCCCAATTAGAGATAGGGAGCTCAGCATCCTCCTTCCAATTCATGCTTGAATGTTGATTAGCTAGATCTGGTGTGGGTCTTGTGCAGGCAATCATAGCCTCTGTGTGTCCATGAGTGTATCAGTCCTGTCATGTCCCGAAGACACTGTTTCACTCTAGTCCTCTCCAATCCCTGGCTCTTAGAATCTTTCTGTCCCTCTTCTTCAATGGTCCTAAGCCTGGGGGAGAGGCTACAGTATACATGTTCCATTTATAGCTTCGAACTCATTCTCTTCACGTTGACTGTGAGCTTCTGCACTAACCACTGTTCATCGCATGTAGAAGCTTCTCTGATGAGTTCAGAGAACTGAGAACAAATTCAGAGAGTAATTTGATACTATGGTCATTTAGCAAAATAATAGTAGTCACTTTACCCCTGAAATTTATGAACTCTCCACCATGAGTTCTTGGCTAGATTTACAGTACCAGGCATGCTTTTCTTCCTGTAAAATGGGCCTTACATCCAATCAAAAAATAGTTGGCTATCTCCACAACATTCATGCTACTCTAGTATGCAACCATGGCATATTTTAGAGTCTCTGTTGTCATTGTGGCTCACAGGGATGACAGGTAGGTTAAACCATTGGTCACTTTTCTTGCTCAGCTGCCTGAATAGCACCTTTTGGTAGAGCCCAACATTTTCTAAATGAGAAATATCTTGTTTGTATATGTGTGAGTATAAATGTGTGTTTACAAAAAAAAGTCACAAATTATACTGTTCTATAAAATCTAGTTATGGTGGAAGAGCCTTTAAAATCTCCTGGCCTTGGTTAGTTCCTCATTGGGAAGATGGGAAGATGCCTTTAGATACCTTTTTAACAGGTACTGTAATGGTTGATGCAGTGCAGATAGATGAGAGACCTTGGTTTTGTGTTGAGTGACAGAGAGGTTTCAGTACAGGGAGGTGGGGTAAGAAGGACCGATTCAACTAGGATTTACTCTGTTCTTTTATTCCTGTGTCTGTGTGATGGTTTTTCCTTGAAAACAAACCTACCCTCCACCCCCTCACCCTGAGTTTAGCAGTATCCCTTGTTTGAAAGCAAAGACTTCATTTCCTGGGGTTTTTTTTTTGTATCCCTCTAATTTGCCCAGTATAGGGTCCAGTTCAGAGCAAACATTCATTAAGAACATTTTAGCTAATTAAATACAAAGTATCTGGCTTGAACTAGGGGATAGAGGAAGTACTGGCACACAGGGAATTTAAAATAAAGAGGATATTTCCCCTATTACTAGTTTTTTCTAATAATGATTGTACTTTCCATTCCTTACAGAAAGTGTGGAAGAACAAAAACTTTAAAATAAAACCACATATCTACTCCTAAGATATCCCTATGATACCTGAATAAGTTGTACAAAAATGTTGTGGTAGCATTATTTACAATGTCCAAAAATGTTGAAACAACCTAAATGTTCATCAATGATGAATGAATAAACAAAATACGAAATATGGAATACAACAATAGAAAGATGTGAGCTATGGGTACATGGTCAATATTGATGAACCTTTAAAAAAAAGTGCAGAAGTTTATTTGATGTCAAGGAAATCTGTAGAGCAAAAGCAAGATTAGTGGTTGCTTAGTTCTAGGGGAGAGGAGTCTCTGGGTACTAGCTAAAGCATTTAGAACCCCCCTTCTTTGCCCCTTCCCTGTGATCCCCACTCCCGTCCCTCTTTCCTTTCCCAAAATGCAGAGCCCAAGCCCAGGGCTTCCTTCATGCTAAGTAAGGGTTCCATTCCTGGCTGTACTTGCAGCCCTGTAATTCTTTTGGACATTATGAAACAGTTTGAAGTAGATGGTGGTAATGATTGCACAGCTCTGTGAATAACTGTAAAACTGTTCAAATGTTTCCAGTGAATTGTTTAGAATATAAACGATGTCTCAATGAAGCTGCTATAAAAATTAATCAAAGCCCTATCCTGAAATCACTGCTGTTAACAGCATCTATTGTATTTCTTTCTAGAAATATTATATGCAAATCTAAACATTTTATCTAGTTCAGCTCATATTTCACATACAGTTTTTAGATTTTATTTTCATGGGTATAGAAATGGGTGTTTTACCTACTTGTATGTCTGTGTACCACTTGCATTCAGTACCTGCAGAGGCCAGAAAAGGACATCAAATCCCATTGAGCTGACTAACTCTGGTTGTGAACCCCCATGTGGATTCTGAGACATGAACCTGGGTCCTCTGGAAGAACAGTCGATGTCCTTAACTACTGAGCCATCTCTCCAGCCCCTCACATAGAATTTTCTCTTTCAAGACAGGGTTTCTCTGTTTTTGCCCTGGCTGGCCTAGAACTCACTCTGCAGACCAGACTGGCCTCGAACTCCAATCCACTTAACTCTGCCTCCCGAGTGCTTCCTAAAAATTATATCACCCAACTATATAATTTTAAATAGTATTTTTCACTTACTATATTATCAGGAACATTTCTCATCTTAATTAAAGCTCCTTTGTAAACACTCTTGTAAAAGAAATACCATAGTTGACCTCATGACTTTAACATAATTTCTATCACTATTCTTCTGAGGGCTGGGCCTTTAGGTTACCCATATTTAACATGATTGTAAATAGCAAGTTGCAGTTTGGGAGGCTTGGAGGCTTGTCTGCTCATCCCTGAACATACGAGCTTGATGTAAAAGAAACAGACTGTATGGGGAGCGGTGTTTTCACTGAATGTTAGTACAGGGTTTCAGGAAAAAGGAGCTTCGTGTCCTAGTTATGAACTTTGAGCAGAATAAGTGACTTTTCATTTGGTGAGACCCATGGGGGAAAAGCCCCTGAACAGGACATCCTGGCCCCTTCTCCACCCTCAAGGGCAGAAGTCCTGGCTGCTGTGAACAAGACCTGATGGCACCATGACTGTATAGCAGAGCTTCTCTTCATCTTGAAGGGGTTTTGAGTTATTGATCTGTCGTCATTTTCTCCTATTTTGTAAGAGCAAGGACAGATGGGGAGAAAATTAGGTATTTCTGCAGTAAAATCTTCCTTGATGGAAAAGGTTCAGGACCATAGAATTGTTCACTGGAAATGTAATTTTCTAGAGAAAATATTAAGTGCCATGATATAGGTACAAATTATCATTCATCTTATGTACTCTGTTTTACCTTAGTAATTTAGGAAGATGAAAATATTAAAAAAACAACACTTCTGTCATATTCACTCAAATCTATACATCTACTAGCTGATATTTTCCTGTTCTCCTTCCCTCTTTTCTTTTCCTCTCTTTCTTCCCGCCTGTCTTCCTCCCCCCTCTCTCTCCCTGCATACATGCTAAGCAATCACTTAACTAACTGAACTACACCCCAGCCCCATTATACAATTTCAGTATGCTTTCATTGCATTCTGTTAGGTCTTTGGTTGAATAGCACCTTCTAAAATTTCACTTTGTAACTTCCCTCCCCTCTGCAAGCAGAGCTTTCCCTTAGAAAAGGTTAGGAAATAAATTGTCAGTTTCTAAGAGGAGATTATAGATCCTATAGTTTATAATTTTCTGTTCTTACATTCTTAATTGACTACAAATGTGTTTGTCCTGTTCTTATAACTTGAACTCTGATAGCTTTGCAAAATGTAAATATATTGCTTAAGAAAGGAGAGCTGGGGTTTGTCTGTTTGCTAGCCAGAGCCCAATTCACAATTACGGTTTTCTAACTTGGGGAATAAGAAGCTTAACTAGATGAAAAGACTCTTCTAAGTAACATACCTGCTTGCAAGCAGCTAAGACCAAAAATAAGAAGGCTTGCCATAACTCCTCTACAAAATCCAGAAGCTTGTGCGAGCTCATTCATATGATATGTAAGAAGTTATATAGGCAAAATCATAACAATCAAATCTCTGTACAGCGGCACTGAAACGGTCTACCACTCCAATTTTGTTTGAAGAAAGACTCTTCAAGAGATGTCTTAAAGGGATGGAAACAAGGTGATGGGAGCGCGGCTCCCTCTGCGTCTGGTTATTTCTTTTTAACCATTGATAGTGCTTTGTGCTTGGTTCGGCTCACTTCTAGCTAGTCAAGCCTGTATTATGAAAGAGAAATAAGACACTTAATCCATAGAATGATTAACCTGCATTGGCTGCCCTCCCTAGTAGCTTGCCCTTCTTTTATTGTAGTCTGTTTACTCATTCCTGAGCCAAATCTCCAAGCACTCTTATTATTGAGCCCAGGGACACCTGGATCACAGGGAGTTGGACCTTTGTTTTAGTCTGAAGAGGAGCTCCTGGCATTTTTCTGTCCCTCCTATTTTATTATTTATTTATTCATTCATTTTTTGAGATAAGATCTCATTACGTAGCCCAGACTGGCCTCAGTTCATTATTCTGTAACTCATGCTGGCCTTGAACTACCTTCCCTAAACCTCTAAAGTGCTAGGGTGAGAGCATGTTCCATCACATCTAGCTTTGAAAGTTTCAAAAGCATCTTTAAGTTCATTACTTGCAAAATGTTACTATTTTAAATTTAACATACAAGGAAGTCAAACTTACAGAAGTTTTCCATGCCCAAAGCTCCACAGCATAGTTCAAATGGATGTACACTCTTACATATTTATATCAGTGTCTGGTTCAGAGAGGGATAGTTTTAGTTTTGATTTGTAGGGTCAACTAGGAATGGCTGGAGTCATTTGTAATTGATACATTTTTTTAAATCCCTTGCCAGAAGCCTCTGCAATTGTAAACTGGAATCATACTGTTGTATTCTTTGCAAAAAGATGACTGTCACCTTGTTATTTTGCCTATGGGAGCCCCTGACCTTAGAACCCATGACTTATTTTCCCCAACATCAGTCAGTGAGCGTGGTGACACCTACCTGGGACTTGACCCTTGTGCTGAAGATGTTGAATAGAAAATCCTATTCAGTATTTTAGAGATGACAAGATCAGGATGATTACTCATTGGATTTGGATTCTTAGATGTGGGTATCTTCTGTGGAATGAAAGTCATGGGAAATATGAGTGATTTTGGTAGTACTTGATCCAAGGGAATAAGCAGGGTTAGTTCTTCAGTAGAAGGAACTTGGGAAGGACACAGCTTTCTCATCAAATTGAAGAGCAGTAGCAGAATACCAGATGGTATTCATGTTGACTGGCTTCTTTCCTCAAGCAGTAGACTGTGCGGATAAATATTTACTCGAGGAAGAGCAAAGTGTTGGAAGAGAAAAGCATTAAAATGGCTAAAATATACAAATCACCCCTACATAGATCCTTATATTGACATCTGTAGCCGCAAATTGGTCAGTGAAGGGGAACTCCTAGTCACTGAAACCCCAGCCACTATAACGTGCTCTGTGGGGCATCTTGTAATTATGCATTGACTAGCCCCACTCTCAGATTGTCCCTTCATTTTCTGTCCAGTTTCACAGTGGCTATATATTATTAGCAGCTGCCTATTAATTCCTGCTTTCCTTGTCCTCCTAATGGCCTTCATTTTGCCTTTTGCTTTTATTCAGTATATTCTACTTTTACTCTGCTTGTTTAGAGTGTGATGGAGGTGCTAGGGAATTGTACTTTTTGGTTGATTTCAGAGTCCATTATGAGTGATAGATAACTGTGGTTGTAATAGTGGGAAAGCAAACAATATCATTTTGACTAAGATAAGGATATGATCTTAATAGACCTCAGTGTCTACAGGCTAAGATAAGAGCAGTTTAGGTGTAGTGCCTAAAGCCTGTTAATGAACGTTATTTTAAAATGGTATAGCCACAGTGTAGGTTATACTGCTTATACTGAACAATGCTGGAGTGAAGCCAACAGCATGTGGGTAGGACTATCCAGTGGGGCCAAGACCAAGGGGCATTTGGTTAGATCAAGATTAGTGACTTAAGTATTCTTCCCCTGATATGCACATGACTAGCTCCCTCACCCACTTCAAGTTTCTGCTCAAATGTTACCTTCTCCAATGAAGCCTGAAAACCTATTCTGATCCACCTATTTAAACTCAGAACAAGTTGAAAGAACTAATTGAAACCTCATGCTGATTAATCCTCTTTTCAGGGCCTGAGCTGCATTACACAAGAATATTTAACATTATAGTTGGTGAACTCAGTGATTCAGTGCACATAGAAGTTTTTAGCTTTATTCTCTTTTGAAATAATAGTATTAAGTTTATATAAATATTAATGTTTGTCCATGAAAAAGGAACAGAATGTTCTCTCTTTCTGGTTTTACTTTGAATCCTGGAGATCAGCATTTCCCAGAAAGATTAAATTTTAAATGAAATGAAGCAATAAGTTGGTTCAGTTGAAATATTGAACTTTTGGTATATGGATATACCACGTTCTTCCCTGTAATGTTTTTGTTTTTATTTTGTTTTTCAATCCCAAGCATAGAATGCCAACTCTCCTTTTCATATTTGCTGCTAAGAAGAGGGAAGTAATTCAAGGTTCATTTTCTGACCCTGAAGAAACTGGGTATGTTCATAGTAAAAAAAAAATCAAGCATACCAAGGAGATCTAGCATTTGAGTTTTACCATCCAGACAGATTAATTTAAGTATTGAATGTGTCAGAAGGATTATTCCCATTTTATTTATTGTTCACATGGCTTATATAGAGGTGGTAGGTGCACCTGTCCATGGTAATCCCACCTGCTTTTGGGATGAGTCCACTAGAGAACATAGTATAGCTGACTGCGAACAGTCTTTAGACTGGGGAGGACGACTAAGAAACACCTATTTTATATTATGTAGATGAGCTTCTGCTGGCATGTTCCAGGACTCCTTTCTTTCTCACTTAGTATTAGGAATGCTGCTGAAGGTACCAGTGCCTCAGTTGTTTAGGTTCTTGTATATACCCCTAGCCAAATTCAAATTCTAGAATGATGATGTCCGTTTACATTTCAGGTGGCAAATGTAAGTTAGCTCTTATAATTGGAGTCACCAGTGCCTACTAAGTTCAGAATACTGGTAGGAAATATGTGCTGAATTTGACCTGGGCTCAGCCCTGTCTACTCCCTATGATTATGTGAATTCTCTCAAATGAGAGATTTCACTTTCTTGTTTGTAAAACCCAGGTATTCAAGTGAGTGTAGGACTTTTCAACAATATATCCATTTTCTGAAAAATTGTAATAGAATTTGTAATACCTATTGTTGAGATGTTACCAGTTTCTCCTTCTCTAGCTCTTCTACCATGTATAGTTAGTGGCAGTAACGCCTGCTTACTCCTTTATTAGTGAGTTACCAGGGTTGTGAGGCAATGACTGATCCTCCTCCTGTGCCTGGACTCCATGGGGATGCACCATTCTGTTGCCTGACTTTCTAAACTCTCTAATCCTGAAAATGCCCCCAGGAGATGAGGTGGAGGCAGACTTGATCTCAGGCATGAGTCTTGGAAAACACACCAAATAACACGGATTTACTCTTTTGGGACTTTGGAAATTGAGGCACACAGAGAGGTTAAATTGAGACCCATAACAGCAGGTAGAACTGAAATTCATATCGTGATCTGGACATTCTAAAACATTAGTCATAATCGTGCTATTCTCAAAGAATTAGCTTGCAAATCCTTCATCATTTCTGGAAGTCAGATAATAAAAGCTGGTGCTGTGAAAGTAAACCAAGAGGTTTAGATTTCCTTCTGAGCTGTGCCAGTGACTTTACCTTTGGCAGCAGTAGTCATCATATGATTTCTCCATGAGGAAGTGAGGGTCATAGTGGCTGTCACTTAAGGGTAAGTAAGCATTAGAAACTAAAACTTACTAGCACCTGTGAAAGACCTGATCTCCAAAGAGCATGGAGATTGCATGGATTTATAATACTAATATTTCATGGTAGAAACTTCTCCAGTAAAGATGATTTGAGCACAGAAAGGTAGTTTTTGAACCTTGCATTTCCAGGTTCATAGAATTAAATCTAACTGAACATGAAACATCCAGTCATAGCACTATGGAAGGAGTCAGATTGTGGAACAGGGTCACTCAGGTACCTTCCAGAGAAGGCCTCTGGCTTGTTTCAATTAACAGAGAGACTATGTATTGCAAGGGCGCAGGACATATTAATCAACCCACCATGCCAACCCTGAGTTCCAAGAGATCTGTTCTAAATCACTCTGTTTGTAATATTGTCATCAAGTTTGCCATCTACAATTGAGGAATGCCACGAAGTGAGCAAAGGAGATCCCTAGCCAGGATATAAGTACCAGAACAGCAAGCCAAGCACCCAGACATAGAGGATTAAGATCTGTTTCTATAAAGGTTTCTCTTTCAAACAAGAATGCCACCAAGTGTTCAGTGCCACATTGAATTCCAGGGGCAAACAGCATGAAATTCTATTCACAAACACACTTGGTGATATTTTCCCTTTAAACTTAAGAAGGGCCACTTTTTCTAGGTGTCAGAAAGGAGTTCAGCCTATCCACAGCTTCTCTGTCTGCATACATGGGCATACCCTTACCCACGTGGATGTACATGTGTAGGCACCTAGATATTTCTTTTTGTTTTAATAAGATGATCCTTGATGCTGGCCCATAGACAGAATGCTCTAATTACATACACTTCACTTCTTCCTTGTTACAAAAACCCAACTTTCAAATTAAGTAGATTTCCTCAATGGCCTTTTCTGTAAGAGCATGCAAATAACCCCATGTGGTTATCTCTTCTCTTACTCAGAAAAACCTCAATAACATATATAAGATTGCTTTAATTGTGACATTATCATGAAGCTTCTCTTAGCTATTTAAATTGGTTAGGGGACTGGTTGAGGTAAGATAGAAGAGAAATGGAAACAAAGGACAATTAAGTTCCTGGAAACATATATAAACAAACAAACAAACAAATAAACAAGTGAAGTCTTGTGGCCGGGTGCGGTGGGGTACTTCTGTAATCCAGCACTATGGAGGCAGACGTCATGAGTCATAAGTCAGCCTTAGTTACTTAGACATTCCAGCCCAGCCTGGGCAACACAGCGAAACCCTATTTTGAAAAGCCAATAAGGAAAATAGTCACCTTTTAATGCTTAAAATTATTTATATGGTTCACACCTTCTAGCCTTTGACTAATCATTACACTGTTGATTGTTGAGCAACTATTGAGAGGACCAGATGTACAGTGCTCAGAACACTATATCCCAAGTTACCTTGCCTGGCATCATTTGCATACTCAGGTGTCTTAAACTGTTCAGTGCACCTGGCATTGGCTTGACTTGAAAGGAGGCCACTCATTCAAATAGGTAGAATTGGTCATCTTCACACTGTCATTTCCTAACTTTGCTAAATTGAGATGATGAACTTGCTACATTCTGTGTGTTTGCAGTAACTATAGTTGTCATCTTCCTTTCCAGACATCTTCCTGCCTGCCCTGAGGCTATTTAACAATATCCTGTATAAACTTAACCCCATATTCCTTTTCAGAACTTAAAAAAAAAAACATGATAATTAGGTGTAGCTTTTATAAAATACCTAGCCCTGGGCCTATTTATCACAATGCTAGTTTTAAATGATAGCTTCCTAGTAATTCCGTTAATTGTTTCTTGAAGCCTAAGTCTCACCCAGCTGCTAAGAAGACTGTACTATGCACTAATTACATGTACCTTACTATACATAAGAAAAGACTAATATGCTTCAGAAGGTTTATTGCTCGTTTACCCCTTCCAGCTTTGCAGTGTACTGGGCATATTTTCTTTTGTTTCTGTGTTGATTTTAATAGCCTGTTTCATAAACAAAGAGAGGGCTTAGCTATTTGCGAATAGCCACATGAGTAGCTGCTATTGGAAATTGAATGAAGTCTTTGGTCGTTCAAGTAATTGAACTATGAGTAGTCAGTCCATCCGTATTTCCTCCCAAAATTTTCTGTTTTAAAAGTTTGGTGGTAGGATCTTTTAAGTTTTGCCTTGTTGCATTAAGTTAACAAAGGACTTTTTGACTGATCTGGGTGTGACTTCCTGGTGTTGACTGATAGCTAGCATATTGCAGATTGGCAGAAGCTAAGGTACACAGAGCAGGGCATTCTTCCGAGACCCTCCACTTGCTACATCAGTTCCATTGCCTCTGTCTTCATGCAGCTCCTGGCTGATAATTATCTGAGGTTGTTAAAAACTACAACCATATTGCTCCACTTTTTCAGGAAAAGCAGAATTTTGTGAGGCTGGAATTAGGACAGAGCATTCAGTAATGATAAAGAAGCTGAGTAAGAAACACTTTGATGGAAACACATAGATAAAACCACAGCTCTGGTGTGAATCAGCGCGAATGCCCAGGGTTTGATTGTACAAGGGTTATGGGAGGGTGTGTGCCCGTTGGCATTTTGACAAAGAACAGGCAAAATCAGTGCCAGCTTCCTGCAAAGGACTGTAAGATGCCTCCTTGTTATATTAGTCCTTAAAGATACAGGAACCGCTTTGCATATATATTACACATTCCTTTCCCAATTAAGTCACTGCTTATTGGCATGTGATTTCCTTCCTAGAAGTGGGATGTGGTAGATTTTTTAAAAATCTAGCCCTAGACATCAGGCTTGTTTTTAGGATGAAGCTTTGTTAGTGTTCCCCCTTTTGGCAAGACTTTCCCCTGATAGGATACATTTTATGTACCAGATTAAAAAGAAATATTTTAAACTCACTTTCTCTTTTTTATCAAAAACATTCTAAGCACTTGGAGCAGAGGTCATTCATCTGAGGCAAATGAGTTTATTGCATCTCTTACTTTGAGGTGAGATGTCAAGACATAGAATATTAACCACCTTTAAGTACTCCAACTCTCGGTAGCCTCTGAGCCATAGCTATGTTGGAGAATGTTTTGTTTGATGGAATTCACGTGGTGAAGGGGGTGCCATCTCGTTCATTTTCACTTCTATCTAGGGCAATGCTTTGCCCAAATCTGTTTCTCCTACAGCTTACTCACTAATGACTCAGTTTACCGTAGGTAATTGTGGTTTGGGAATATGAAGTCGTCTTGCCCACTGTTAGATGAGGGGGTTGTAAAATAGCCAAAGGTAGAACACCCTAACTAAGGGAGGTACTTGAATTTGATCATGAAGGTGTCAGCATAACCCTCACCATGTTCCTGTGACCTTTTGTTTGTTTTGTTTTGTTTTCACAGGGTCTTTCTATTATGCATCTCTGGTTGTCCTGGAACTCACTGTGTAGACCAGGCTGACCTCAGACTCACAGAGATCCACCTGCCTCTGCCTCCCAAGTGCTGGGATTAAGGCGTGCGCCACCACACCTGTCACTCCTGAGACCTTTACATTTCAGTTAACTCATAAGACAGTAAGATCATTCTCTTAGAGTTTCTATTGCTCTGATAAAACCATAACCAGAAACAACTTGGGGAGAAAAGGGTTCATTTCAGCTTACAGTTGTAGTTCATCTCTGAGGAAAGTCAGTGCAGGACGAAAGGCAGATGCCTGGAAACAGGACAGAAACAAAGACCATGGAGGAATGCTACTTACTGGCGTGCTCCCCATGCCTTGCTCAGCCTGTTTTCTTCTGTCATTCAGATCCACCTGCCCTGGGCCCACATCAATCATTAATCAAGAAAATGCTCTACAGGCTTGCCTACTGGCCAATTTTATGGAAGTGTTTTCTCAATTGAGGTCCCATCTTCTCAGATGAGTTCATGTTTGTGCCAAGTTGGCAAAAACGAGCCCCCACAATCATGTACTCCATCCTTAAGACAAACGGAGGCATGGCATCATAGACAGCGGACTTCAGAGCCTGAGTGCAAAACCAAAAAGTCTAGCTCTGAAGGCTGTGGCTTTTACGCTCTACTGCGTGTCTCGGTAGCCGTGGAGAGTGCTAGCTTCGTGAGCAAGTGGGCAGTAACAGCCATCACGGTGGCTGGGTGGCACAAGGCACAGATAAAGAATATGGGAAGCTGAAGAGATTGTCCTGGGCCGGGGCAGCCATTCTGGCCACCTCGGGAAGTTGGAGCTCGCTGGTGACCACAGGCAGACTTCTCCGTAGGTGTGGCAGGAAGTGGGGCAATGGCGGGAAAAGAAACATCGCTCAACATGGCAAGTGAAGAAAGAGCAGCAGACAGCAGAGACACTGCTGTTTCGCACTTGGGTGAGCATGCTGCTGCTGAAAGGGAGAAGCGAGGGCCTCTCGGGAGCCAAGAGAACGGCTGGATTTGAGGGCGGGTCTTGCTCTTGACCCTGGGCCACAGAGAGCAAAACGAACGTCTCCTTGCGCCAAGATAATCAACATGAAAGTGTGTTTATACAGACGAACAGTGGGATTTATCCCGGATTTTGGGAGGTAATCCCTGGGTTCAACACTCCATGAATAGCATGCCATGTTTCTAAGCTGAGAAATTACTGTGAGCTTTTACGAGAGTGAACTGCGGGAATCTTCTAGGTGAAATGTACCCGGTTTCACCTTGAGTCTAAGGCCTACTAATGCACTCCAGGTGTGCAGGCTGCCCAGACTCTGTTTTTGGAAGCTCAAAGAAGAACTCACAGCCCCACAGGGAGGCTTTGAAGAACGCCAAGGACCTTTCTTTCTCTCCTAGTGTTTTGTATCCTTTCAGTCCACATTTGGTAATTGGAGATACTCGTGGTGTTAAAGCCGGACTTGTTCCTTCTTAGCCTGCCCCTTCAACGGTGAAATCTTAAGCCTGTGGCTTCAATTGTGCTTGTGTGCAGTGGTGATCTCCCTGCAGTGTCCCTCGGATGTAAGAGGAGAGCAGCTGAAATACTAGAAAGGGGGTTATAGGAAATCACCCAACAACAATTTCCCATGTCTATGGATGCTTTCATCCGAGGGCAAGAGAAGCTGAAGGGGTACCTACAAAGGAGCGGGCGCACAACTTAAAATGCTCTGGTTATAGACTAAAACTAGAGATCAAAGGCTGGGTCCTCAGAATTACACAGTGAGTCACTGGAAAAACTGAGTAGAAGTCAGGCATCCTGTTCTCTAGTTTTACATGGCTACTGAGTGCAATTGACTTTTAAGCAGTACCTGTATTTCTTTTCACTTAGACCCAATCCCGTCCTAAGGAATATAATTATGTGTACATATAAATGCCAAGCCCTAGAGCACTATGAAGTATTTTGCCATGATAATATGGTGGGTGAGGTGAAAAGGTAATGAGAAGCCACACATCTGATGTGTGGTCCCTGCGTTCCCAAGGGACTGTGGCCTTTTGTACAACCACTATTCTGGCTCTCTCATGGATTCAATTTAGAGGCTCTCCTTTAAGAGAGAATATTTCCAAAGCTAAATTGACAGTGATAGAGTTGTAAGCAACTGACTTTTTTCAACCTTGTCTGCTATATGCCTTTCAGTTTGTTGCCTACTAGTTCGTACCAGCTTTATCTCAAAAAGTAATGGATGGCTTAACATATGATAGACAAATATGTTTGCAGTTAAGGGTGTCAAAATTAGCTTGAACAGATAATATACAAGTACTCTAAATGTTTTAATATTCCATTTTTTGTATAATCACTCCACATATGCTGGGTTTTGATAATAGGTAGACTGCTTTGAAGACCAGGTGACCCAAAATGAAGATGACTAACGCATATGTGCAGTGTGTGTGTGTGTGTGTGTGCGCGTGTGTAAAGATAGCCAGAGAAACATTAAATCTTCTCACTACCTGCCATAAGATGGAAGGGATGTGTCCTCAGGCACCTTCCCCAAGTGAACTGGAAGAGATAATCTCCTGGGGGCAGCCATGCTTTGTTTCTTAACTGTGGACTTAGTGACTACATCTAGAGAAGACACAAACAGGGCAGTCAGTACTGGGAACATTCAGGAAGTGTGATGACATCAGGGGAACTTTCTTAGCTCTCTTAGGAAGTGTGCAAATACCTAGATAGCAAGTAAAAACTCTGAGCTGGCTAGATTAGAGTTTAATGCTGTGCTGCACTTTCCAGTTGAATAACTCTGAGCTAATCATTTAATTGTAAACCTTAGCTACCTCTTTTTTAAAAAAATAGGATGGTATTAATCACATAGGTTTGTTGTAAAGACTAAGTAGAAACATGTATGTAAAAGCTTCCAGATATTTAAGACTTGCTCAGTATTAGTTTTGTTTTCTCTCCTTCCCTCATTCCCTCCTTTTGTCTCTCATCTCCTTTTCTCTTCCCTCCCTCCTTCCTTCACTCCCTTTCTTAATGCAGAATTGTATGCCATAATTTGTTTGAGTTATGGCCCACCAATTAAATACTATTAAAATCTTTTCCAAACTCGAGTGAACATTTGGATTGTGCTTAATCTTTTAATGAGTTATTTTTTTAACATGCACATAATTCTGTATGTCAGTTGATAGTCTTAACCTGGTGAAATTCATATAGAGTAAGTTCATGGACAGAAGATAACATAGCATGTGTTGGCATTTTGCTAGCAAAACTTGGCCAGCAGGTACAACCCTAGGCTCACGAAGACAGGCTTATCCAAAACTGTATAGAATCTGGCCTTGCTCACATGGCTGAGCCCTTTGTCACCTATCAGGGAGCCTACAACACTTGCCCTTGTAATACATTCCCTTAAATCTATGTGGTTTAATACATGCAAAGTTATTTCTTCTTTGGGTGAAATTTAATCAAATGCCAGCAGTCATGATTTGTGGGAGACTTACCTAGGCAGTAACTCTCAGAGTGGGCTTCTCAACTTGTGACTCTTCAGGCTTTAAAAAAAATGACCTCTGTAGTTACACTGGAAGAAAAGAACATATGAAGAAAGATCCTGAAGTAGGAGCAGGTGCAAAGTTTGTAGGGGAACTATTCACACCCTTCCTGCCCACATTGCTTGGAGTTACATGATCAAATTACCAGAGCTAGAAACTGTGGTCTGTCTTTGTGTCTAGGAAGAGGGGGAAACAAGTTTTGTGAGCAACTGGCTCAACCTCCCTCTTCCAGATCCACATTCCTTTTCCTCTTTCAATGATTCTTATTCCAGACTATACTGTTAGTTTATTATTCAAGTTTAGCTTGGTTCTGGGACCAGAGAGATGACTCAGTGATTGAAATCACTTGCTGCTTTTGCAGAGGACCTGGCTTTGGTTCCCAGCACCCACACCATGGCTCACAACTGCCCATAACTCCAATTCCAGGGATTTGATGCATCTTCTAACCTCTGTGAGCACCATGCATGCGTGTGGTGTGTAGTCATCCATGCAGACAAAACACTCATACAGATAAAATAAATTAAATCTATCTTTTAAAGCTAGTTTGGTTGGGAGGAGTGTTTGCTTACTTACTCTCATCTGATAGCCTATTGATCCAATTTCTTGACTTCTGACCATACTTCCATTTTAAAAAAATAGAATTATTTCTTAGTTAAAGAAAATCTTAGAGACATTTGAGTTTGGGCAGTCATTTTCATAGTAAGGTTGCTTCTCCCTAAAGATTATTGTTAGCTTTGCTTGTGAATGGAAATAAGATAGAACATTTTAAAAGCTGTATTTGAAGCTTTCTTCCTCATAATACTTGGGCATTTTGAAAGACAGGTGAGTCAGAAGGAAGGGATTTCCAGGTACAGTGAAAAAATATGCTTGGCTTTTAGCCCTGATGAGTCATGTAAGTGACTCATCTTGAAACAGAGACTACAGAGAGTAATTAGAAATATTGGAAGTCTACACATCCAAGTAGGAAGAATGTTACATATGATAGTAGAACTGTGAATAGTTCTTTGTTTGGTTCCCTTTTTGTTTATAATTACTTATTTTCCCTCTAATTTCTGACTGGGGATACATCCCCTCTGTATTTTCTTGCCGTCCCCCAATCTTGGCTCAAAGGTGAAAACCAAGAAGAAGAGAAAGGGCAAGAGTAGTGTCTAGCCTAGGTTACCTCATGGGGCCAGTGCTCTGTTTAGAATCTGCCCGAAACAATGTGGATGGGCACACATCAAAGGTTGTATACTAATCACATGATGGAGCATTACCAACAGGTTAGGCTTTACCTTAAGTTCAGAGTTTCTGTGAGGTAAATAGAACAACGCTCTGTGGAATTCTTGAAGCTCTTGTGTTCACATTTTGGATCTGGTGCTCCTCCAAGCAGATTTGTTCCTCACAAAGGCAGTAACTTAAGATTCGCTGCTAGTTCAAGTTCATTGGCATTAAATGATTGTACTTAAAGCTGTAAAGAGAGAACAGCATCTTCACAAGTTCACACAGTGTATTGTAGGGTGAGCTATCAGGGAATGATGGTAGAAGGCACAGTAGGTGAACCTCAACTGCTAAACTAAAACTCCTGTTAGAGTATGTTGTATCGACCACATGGAAATACGCAGAACCTGCTTGTTAGTGGTGACTGTCACCTGGAACCACTTAGTTAATTTATCTGGTTTCCCACAGCCTTTGTGATTACAGGCTACCATCAAGGGATTTTATTTAAGTTAAGATGACCTTTAGTAGTTTTCCTGTTTGTGAAAGTAATACATAATCATAAAATTCCATCCTTTAAGAAATACATTATGGAGAAAGGGAAAAATCTCCCATAATTTTGAGCATAATTGCTGTTAGCATGCTTTTGCATATAGTCTTCAAATACTTTCAATGGATATGTTAACATTTTACTATTCATTTTCTTAATAATAGATGGGCTTGTGTGGTCTACATTGTTTCTCATATTTTCCCTCTTACTACATCATGGACATTATTATAGCAGGATTTTTTTTTCTAAGACAGTTTTCCTTTCTCATCTTTCTTCAGAGTCCCATGGTCCCATTGGGTGGTACATCGTCTAGAAAATAAAAAGAAGAGCTCTGGGTGGTGATTATTCCCCCTCTCTCTCCCCTTCCTTCCTCTCTGTAGGAGTTCTCTAAAAGAAAGGTTACTTAAAGACACTTTGAAAGGCACCAGTATTAGGTTTGTCCATGCTTTCCTATTGGCCAGTCATTACTTCTGATTGATATATTGATAGTGTGATGCATGGATCAATGACTTCAGAAAAAAAATAGTTCCCACTCTGTTGTTCTTTCCAGCAATAGGCTTGCGGAAGCTAGTGTGATGTAGGGGTGATGTTGCTGTCTTCTAGAAAGATGGGCTAGGTTGTCTACTTAGAGAAAAACCAAGCTCTGTAAAGGACAGAATCCCAACTCTTTAGATTGTTTTTCAAGGTTTTCTTGGCCCAATTCTCTAATATCAACTCCCAACACCCGATCCCATGTGGCCATGCTTCAGACATGTGTTCTTACTATTTGCCACCTCAGTGTCCTGACTGACTTTCCCTGTCTTGGGATGCTTTTTTCCCTTCTATTTGGTGAAGTTTGTATGCTCACAGCTCTGTGGTGAGATATCTCTTGACTCTCAGGCAGAACTCTTTGTCCTTGCTCTTGTCTGCTGTTGTGTGACTCTGATGTCATGTCGTATTTTACTTTACCTGCCTTAATTAATTAGTTAATTTTTGTTTTGTGGTACTGGATGTATACCACGGAACTGCATCCCAGCTCTCTGTTTTATTGTAGTGTAATACACACACAGTAAATTTCACAAAGCCTGATCAGGTTAAATTTCCACCTGGGCTACAGCCGTCAGAACATAGAAATGTGTTTTCCCCTTCTATTTCCAGAGCTGGCTCAATTAGTTCTCAAATAAATATGATTGATGAATGGTAATTTTGCTCACTCCATCCAGTATGGATTTCTTATAAAGGGTTTCTTTTTTTTTTTTCCTTTTACCAAACCAAACATGTCTTGTCATTGATTTCAGTTCTTAAGAGAAACAAACTAAATTACTGATTTCTCCAGTGGAAACATGAATAAAACACAGGTATATTTATTTTTCTATTCATTGATAAAGTTTGATATCTATTTGGTAAAGTTTTATTAGAAGATGTTAATCTCACTGGGTGATGGTGGAGCATGCCTTTACTCCCAGCACTCGGGAGGCAGAGGCAGGCGGATCTCTGTGAGTTTGAGACCAGTCTGGTCTACAAGAGCTAGTTCCAGGACAGCCTCCAAAGCCACAGATAAACCCTGTCTCAAAAAACCAAAAAAAAAAAAAAAGTTAACCTCAGGATGAGATACTACAAAGAAAAATATGGTTTATTGTTTATTCCTTACAGGAAAAAAATCAAGCATTTCCTTTCTTATATCCCTAAGTGTAGATTTAGATTTTTAAAAATGGAGTCATTCTATTCAGGTTTGCTTCTCCCACTAAGAATTGATGATACATTTTTTGTGAAAGGTACCTTTGCTTTCTTTGTTTTGTTTTGTTTTTGTTTTTTGTTTTTTTTTTGTTGTTGTTGTTTTACGAGACAGGGTTTCTCTGTATTGTTTTGGAGGCTGTCGTTCCAGCCTGGCCTCAAACTCACAGAGATCCGCCTGCCTCTGCCTCCCGAGTGCTGGGATTAAAGGCGTGCGCCACCACCTCCCTGCGCCTTTGCATTTTTTTTTAAATGTTGGGTAATACAGTCATCCCTGTAGTTTTCTATGTTAAGGGCTGCTCTCTCCACTGCTTTGTCTAGGAGGAGTGTATCAGCAAAGTCTTGCTTCATCAGAATAAGCCTTCTTGGTCCTTCAAGGGTACCTATGTATTTTTTTAAGCTAGAAAACAGAACATTTGCTCAGACTAATTTGGTTCAACAGATGGGCTTAGTGGTCTTCCTGGAAAGATGATCCCGAGATCCCTCTCTTTCGTTTGCATTAGGCTCCTAGTTCAGAAAGCTGGACTAGTTCCCTCTTCTGCATACAGAGTCTAGGTGGAGAGGTATAAACGGAAAGACTACCAATGGACCTAGATAGTCAGTCCCTTCTCAGCTTGCCCTAATATTTTTATACAGTTGTCTTTCTGTATTAATTAGTCAATTAACTAGTTCATTCATTCACATAATCTGTCATTATCGGTGTCTTTTATTTCCAGTGTGTTCTTTTCTCTTGGATATCAGATTAAAATTTCGTCAACCACTTTTACAAAGGCAGTTTTATTTCTTGTAAGTAATTGACTTAATTGAACAAGTATTTGTTTGTAATCTTCCCTGTGCTCAGCACTATCCAAGATCATAAACTATAATCTCTCTAGGAGGTAGCATGTTAGCCCATTGATTTAAATGATAGCTGATTTAAGTTCTTTGTGTGGTTGGTTTTATAGATTTTATTAGTAATTATGAAATGGAAGATTCAAATAAGCTCCCGCCCGCTGCTTGAAACAATATCTTATTAGTTCTTAATAGTAATTATATGAATACTTGTCACTAGTTAATCAATATTGCTTCAAGCATTTTCTGCATGTGTATGTGGGTGTGGTATGTATACATGTTTATGTGTTCACACTTGTTGATGTCAGATGTCTTCCTTGACTGTTGTCTACTTTGTTTATTGAGACAGGGTCTCTTGCTGAACCCAGAGAGCACTAATTCCAGCTAGTCTAGACAAGGGTACACCTGCGTGATAATATTACAGGTGGATACTATACTTCCTAGCCTTACATGGGTTCTGGAGATTGGATCTGGTCCTCATCCTTGAGCAGCAAGTATATTAACCATTGAGCAATCTCTCCAGCCTGCTGCAGGCCTTTAAAAAGACAACATCCTGGTTTTAAAAGGATATTGTAAGTACAGAAGACTTATTTAAGTACATATTATAGTTATTTTGTAGAAAAATGTGGAGGATTGTTGACAGGCTTGTGAGTAAAATATAATTGTTCAGATCTTAAATTGAGTACTCATACTTGGAAGCACACCTGCTATAATGTCAATTTTTGAACTAGGGCAAAGCAGATAAAAAACTAAGTATCTGTGCTTAGATCCTGGTTTTGGAGAGGCCATAGATCTGCTGCATGGAAACCTGTAGTAGCATTTGAAACTACTATGAGATCAAAGTATTTTTTAATTTATTTTATTATTTTAATTTTAAATAGCTTGCTTCACATATCAATCCCAGTTCCCTCTCCCTCCCCTCCTCTCACACCCCTCACCATCCCCCCCCATCCTCCCACCCTATTGCTACTTCCTTCCACATAGGAGATATCTAGAGTCTGTCATTTCACTCAGGGCAGGGTCCAGGCACTCCTCTAAGAGTCCAGGCTGAGAGAGCATCCCTCTTTGTGTTATGAACACATGAAGTCTGTTTGTATGCCAGGGATAAACACTGATCCACTGCCCAGGGCCGCATAGGTTGCCCAGGCTCCCTCACTGACTCTCACACTCAGGGGGTCTGGATCAGTCCCATGTTGGCCTCCCAGCTTTCGGTCTGGGGTCCAAGAGCTCCCCCTTGTTCAGATCAGCTGTCTCTGCTGGTTTTGCCAGCCCATTCTTTGCCGATTTGCTCATAGCTCCTCTCTCTCTGTCACTGAGTTCCATGGGGTCAGTTCAGTGTTTAACTGTGAGTGTTTGCCTCTGCTTCCATCAGTCACTGTATAAAAGGTTCTAAGATGGTTATAGACATCAAGTTCCTTATCAGGAATGTGCACTTAAGGTGGTCTCTCCACTATTGCTTAGCTTGCCAGTTGGTGTCATCCCTTTAGATCATTAGAGGTCTCACTGGTGCCAGATCTGTCTTCTAACCTATGATTCCCTCTTCCCCCTACTCTACCGCTCCACTCATCCTTCCTTTTCCCCCATGACCTACTCTCTCTTCCTCTTCTCCCCCTCTCTTCTTTCCAGCTCCCACCCCTCCCCCCAACCCCTCGCTGTGTTCCCAATCTGTTCAGAAGATCTTGCCTCATTCCTCTTCTCTGGGGTACCATGCATATCTCTCTTAGGTTCTTTTCTGTGGGAAGTGCAGACTGGCACTATCCTGATCCATGTCTAAAATCCATATATGAGTGAGTACGTACCATGTTTCTCTTTTTATGACTGGGTTACCTCACTCAGGATGGTTTCTTCTAGTATCATCCATTTACCTGCAAATTTCAAGATTCCATTGTTTTTTTCTGCTGAGTAATTCTCCATTGTGTAAATGTACCACACCACCCTGAATGCGCTCGTTCTAGTCTGATCTCAGAAGCTAAGCAGGGTTGGGCCTAGTTAGTACTTGGATGGGAGATCAAAGTATTTAATAGACAGTCCAATAAAAGGTAATGAGGCCCTGTGATAAGAAAGTATGTACTAAGTTACATTTACTTATCATCTGGAATGGAGAAAATTAAGGCCGTGCCTTCAGTTTTCATCCCATGAGGACATGGAAAAGATAGTAATTAGAATTAGATCCCTACCTGCCTAATATGTGGGGAACACTGATGGCTTGAGAGAATGCTTTCTAAGGAAGGACAAAAATTGAGAATCTGTGCTTGGATCATGGTTTTGGAGAGGCCATAGACCTTCCATAGTGGTGGAAGACCCTTTCCTCTTGTCTTCTGAGGGCTGTTTTCAAATCCTAAGTCTTACTCAGAAGTAACTTCTCAAAGTCAGAGAAAACCTAGATCTCTTGGTCTTCGCCTGTAAATCAATGGTTGACACTTTTTTTGTGTGTTCTCCTTTAGAGTTTTGCCCTTATTAGAGGGCAGAGAAAGAGTCTATGTCATTAATCACAGAGAACTGTTTACCACTATAATCTAGAGGGCACTTGCCCATGGCAGGCAGTAAAATTACCTTGGTTGTGTAAGCGTGGTTTGCTTAGACTGGCCCCAAATGTTTGGGAATTATTCAAGAGCTGTCTGAGACTGACCAATTAACTATTTTTTCACTGTTCTCTTCAGATTCACCTTTACACCTTCCAATCACATTGACAGGATTGGAGGTTCCAGAAATTGCAACATTACTGACTTCCAGCCATGTGACATAGGATTTCAGACGCCCAGTTAAATTTTAAGCCAGACATTTCTTTTCAATTCAGGTCACCTACAGGCCAGACAAAGCCAAGGTCATATGCTGAACCAATATAAGCATTCTGTTGGTTCCAGTAACTCTCCTGTTGTTCATAGCTTGAAATACTATACCATGGTTAATCATAAGTGTCAGCTGCTGTGTCCTTTTATTTATGAGCCCTTAATCAGGAGGACACAGCAAGAATCCCTGTTCATGAGGAGCTTTTCATGAGGCCCTTTTGGACACTCCTTCCTTTGTAATTGTGAAGTGGATTCGATGTTGACTTGTAAAATGTGTTGAATAGTATGTGTTAATCTTTCTGAAAGCAGCATTTTCTGTGCTGTAACTGTATGATCCATCTGTAATCTTTATGTTGCTATTACAGGGCAAACAACAAACAGCAACAATATATCACTAAGCCATTTCTTTCCAACCTATCTTTCTCTCCTCATCTTCGTCTTATAGATACATAGTTTTGTAAGAATTCAAAAGTTTTGTCTTTGTTCAAAGAGGGCCATAATTAGGAATTTAGATAGGATCATTTTATGAATAAATATTAGAGTAGAATTTGTAGTCAGATAATTTAGTGGCATTTGTAATTTAATATTTCTATATTTATAAGCTTCCTTCTCAGATTTATAGCACAAAAAGTCATGTCATTTGGTTTGGTTTGGTTTGTTGTTTTGAGGCAGTCAGACTGTTTCTAAACTTTAAATTCATGCTTATGTTTTAGAGCCAGCATTTTTGTGGGTTTCATTCCTGTGGACTTCTACTCTTCACTCGGTGATCCCATGTGAATCCTCCATCCCAGCCACACAGGCTTCATGTGGTTACCTGAACACAACATGCTTTTTCCCATCTTACTGGGTTACATAATGCTGTAACCCAGCCTTCCATTTTCCCTCGTTGCTTTCAAGACAGCCTGTCGGTGCTGCCTCCATCATTACATTTCCCCTTCGTTTTATACTCGAATGTCAGTGCTGCTCCATGCATCACCTATTTGCCCTGTTATTGAAGTACTCCATTCCAGCTTATTTTTTTAATCTTTTTTGTTGTTGTTGTTTTCACATTTCCTCGAACAAGCAACAAGTGGCATTCATACTGAGGACCAAGGTCATATTTTCCAAGTAGCATCCAAATGGTTGGCTTGGCACAAAATTGCATATTTCTCTTGTTTTCTCATCAATAGATGGGAAACATTAGTGTTTGATTTCTCAGAACTGCTCTGAGAAAGGGCAAAGGAACTGACAGTAAACTCTGAGTTCCCTTAAAAGTTGTTACTATTTTTTCCAAAAGGATTACCACGAGTGTTCAGTGACAGCTGTATGACACTGCAACCTGACTCTTTTACAGTATCCAAAAATGAAAATGGACAACCAACCACAGTCAAAGGTGATACGCTTAACCTTTGCCTCCAGTCTGTTTAACCAAGCCAAGATGAAGCAAGAGTGCTGGGAACTGAGGTTTTCTGAGTAATGTATTTGTTTAGGCTGCTTTCAGCTTCTTAACCTCTGCTTCCTCTCCATGGTATCCACCTTTTCAATGCTCTTTTTGTGTAGGATGGCATGTTAGCTGTTAGAATAATAGGAATCATGCCCATTGTGCCAGCAATAGTCTGTCCCAGTGGGATCACATTCACTGGACTGCTTACCAGCAGGAAGGAGCTCAAGGGAAAATGACTTGGGACATTAAACAAACAAGTCAGCTACGAGGCCTGTCTAGGCCCAAGGAGCAGAATTTCTGGATTTGTTTAAAGAATTAAACTTATGCACTACACT